GGTGGTCCTGGTTAAAACACATAGAGCTAAGAAGGGGAGCAAACATATGTCATATACGCCAGGTCCCTTGAAACATAAGCTGTGCAGATGTTTCTTCCCTGCAGTGACTGCATCAAGCAGCAAGGGTGGATTGGCTTCCAGCACGCAGGTTCTTCAGGGATAGGTGCTGTGTATGCCTTTAGCCCTCCATAGTCTAGCACAGCGAATGAATAGATGATAGATACTCTATAAACATTTCACTTGGCAAAGACCATTAAGTATTGATATTCTCAGGTTTTATGCAAAAATTAAGTGACTTTTAGCATGGAAAGAATGCAAACCTGCTTTTGGAATTATGAAGTCCACATTGTTGACTTTTTTACTAGAAGGAATTAAGTGGTTGTTGTATTTTCCTCTTTTATCTGTCAGCTCAAACTTCTCTTTCTGGAAATGGGGGTGAGGGGAGCCTTCCCTGACCACCTGCCCCACCACAAACACACCAAGATCCTCCTGTTGCAAGCTCACACTGCTGCTCATGCACCTCCTTTCATTTTCCCTTTATTGCACCAATCACAGTGGTAAATCATACTTGCATAATTATTTGATTGTCTGATTAATATTCAGGCTGTGATAACAAAATTTGGGTGACTTATAAACAACAGAAATTTATTTCACACAATTCTGGAGGCTGGGAAGTCCAAGACCAAGGTGCTTGCAGGTTCAGTGTCTGGCAAGGGCCTGATTCTTGGTTCACACATGGCTATCTTCTCTCTGGGTCCCATGGCAGAAGAAATAAGGGGACCTCCTTTTATTAGAGCACTAATCCCCTTCATGAGGGCTCTATCCCCATAATCTAATTATCTCCCAAAGCTCCACCTCCAAATACCATCACATGGGGGATTGAGTTTCAACATATGAATTTGGGAGGGAATAAAATAATTCAGTCTGGGTGCAGAAAACTATACAACAGAGAGTTCTATACCCTTTCTTCTTTCAAAATTCATAGGAAATATCTAGATACCATGACTTTTCCATCTCTAAATTACTAGTCAGATATGTTTGGAACATACATTTTAATAGCTACTCTTTAGCCGAGCATTTCATACCTAAATTTTACATTGAATGAAGCTGTTCTACAGAAAAGCCTAATTGCTGGGAATTTCATAGGCCACCCCACCACCTGGTTAATTCTGCCTTCTATCCAACCTTTTATGCCATTATTTGATATAATTATTCAGTTATATTTATCTCCTACTAGAGAGTAAACTTCTTGAGGGCAGAAATTTTTATCTGTTTTGTCCACTATTATACCCAGTGCCTAGATTGACATGGTAGGTGCTCAATAAGGTGAATGAATGAATGAACAAGCTAACTCATACAACTTAACAAAAGGAAGACAAACAACCCAATCAAGAAATGGGCAGAAGACCTAAATAGACACTTCTCCAAAGAGGACATACAAATGGCCAAGAGACATATGAAAAAATGCTCAATGTCACTAAACATCAGAGAGATGCAAATTAAAATGACAATGAGGTATCACCTCACACCTGCGAGAATGGCTGCCATCAATAAATCAACAAATAACAAGTGCTGGTGAGGATGTGGAGAAAAGGGAACCCTAGTAACTGCTGGTGGGCATGTAGACTGGTACAGCCATTATGGAAAACTGTGTGGAGTTTCCCCCAAAAAGTAAAATGGAACTGCCATGTGACCCAATAACCCCACTTCTAGGAATATATCCTAAGAAACCAAAAACACCAATTGGGAAGAATATATGCACTCCTATGTTCACAGCAGCATTGTTTATAATAGCTAAGATCTGAAAACGGCCAAAGTGCCCATCAGTATATGAATGGATAAAAAAGCTGTGGTACATTTACAAAATGGAATATTATGCAGCTGTAAAAATGAATGATATCTCACCCTTTGAGACAGCATGGAAGGACCTGGAGAGTACTATGCTAAGTGAAGTAAGTCAGTCAGAGAAAGACAACTATCACATGATTTCACTTATATGTGGAATCTAAAAAAACAAACAAACTGACAATCAAAATAGATCCAGAGACATGGAAGAATGCAACAGACTGAGGATCCTCAGAGGGAAAGGGGTGAGGGGAGGGAAGAGATCAACCAAAGAACTTATATGCATATATGAATAACCCAAGAACATAGACAATAGCGGGATGAAGGCCTGGGAGGGGAAAGGAGGGGAGGAGGAAGTAAGGGGTCAATGGGATGGGGGAGGAAAGGGTCATCTGTAACATTTTCAACAATAAAGATAAATTTTTAAAAACCATACTTTTCTTTGGAACTCGAATATTAATAAATGTTTCCAATGGCATAGCTTGTCAACTAGATTGATGAAATGCTTCCTATGACGTATGCTCTCAAATGGTTACTAGACAGTAACATGATCTTCTGAAAAGGAGTGTAAGTGAAGCTATCGATCATGGACTACAGAGCTACACGTCTGTCTAGCAGATACAACAGATAAGAGACTGCGCTGAAGGCTGTTTCATATTGACAGCATGAAGCAAATTATATGGTACAACTTTCCCACACAAATAACTTGCATTCAGTCCTTAAATATAAACTAGAAGAGAAAAAAGCAAAGAAGCACCCCCCCTTCCCCCTGATGGGGTTAAACAAAATTGTCTCCTAACACCTTGACGTACTGAACAGTGACTACCCACACCTGGGACTAATGCTTTGTATGTTTAACTACACATACAGACTGTATTGATTTCATACCAAATCTACCCCTTGAGACATGTCTCAGGAAATTTCTGAGCACAAAGTAAAGCAAAATATAATTCTTGACTCCAAGGTAGCTGAGCTGGATGTAACCAGAAAATATATGAAGCAAATTATATGGTACAACTTTCCCACACAAATAACTTGCATTCAGTCCTTAAATATAAACCTTAAGAGAAAAAAGCAAAGAAGCACCTCCCCTTCCCCCTGATGGGGTTAAACAAAATTGTCTCCTAACACCTTGACGTACTGAACAGTGACTACCCACACCTGGGACTGCTTTGTATGTTCAACTACACATACAGACTGTATTGAGTTCATACCAAATCTATCCCTTGAGACATGTCTCAGGAAATTTCTGAGCACAAAGTAAAGCAAAATATAATTCTTGACTCCAAGGTAGCTGAGCTGGATGTAACCAGAAAATATTTACTCTCTGACCTGCTATCTCAGAGGCTCCCATTCGGTACTTCTGGGTTCTATGCACATAGACAGTTACGTGCACATGGAATCAGCGGACTTCAGACCTGGGTCCATTTAAATAGCCACGGTCTAATCTTTTTATGTTACAGACAAGAGCATGGAGCCCCAGGGAGACAGGGGACTTGCCTGAGATCACAGAGCTGCTTCGTGGCGATGGCAGGACTCCGGCCACACAGAGTCGCAGCCCAGTCAGCCCCCTGGGTGTGACTCTGGTGTTTCCTGACGGCCGCCTTGGGTGGCCTGAAAACTGGGGACTTGTACTTCTCACAGGGTTCTCAGGCGGACTGGAGACTCTCTCGAGGGCGCATTACAGCCTTTGGTAATCTGTGTCATGTTCAATGGGAATTAAGCTCACGTCCCCTTCCCTTTGCATCTTCTCACCCGAGCTCTATGCTTGTGCTCTTTCTCCTGAAAAGATGATGCTCAATGCAAGAAACAGGACATCGGAAAAGCCCTGTCTCTCTTTTTTCCATGTATTTGAGGGTCTCTAGGCAGCCTGGAGTCTGCTTGACAGCCCCCCCGGCCATGGAGGGCTTAAGATGGCAATGCTGAGCCCTGTACCTAACAGACTTAAAATGAAACACAGTTTCCAGGGATGGGTGGGTACCACGTGCAGGGTGCAGAGTAAAGAGACAGAGTGGGATTACAGTTGCCCCTCTTCTCTCTCTCTTCCTACATCCCCCACGCCAACCTCAGCCACCCCAACATGCCTTCAGCTCAAGTGACCTATTTCTCAAATAAGCACAAAGCAATGTCTCTCTCTCCCCACTCAGCCAGGCCCTGGCCCCAGAATTACAGGTCAGCATATTTGATACCACGATGCCAACAGTTCTAAGCCCCAAAGGGAGGCTTGTTAATGGAAATCGACCTCAAGTTGGTAGCTTCCTGGATGGGATGTATTTTTCTGCTTGGAGGCCTTCCAAGTATTTTTGCTTAATGCTCACTTCTTAATACACACACACACCACACACCACACACCACACACCACACACCACACTACACACACACACCACGCACTACACACATACCACTACACAGCATACACATACCACACACACACCACACACTACACACACACACACACACACACCACACTACATACACACACACCACTACACACCATACACACACACCACACACTACACACACACACACCACTACACACCATACACACGCATCACCACACACACACACACACACACAAACACCCCCACACACACACCACCACCCACCCAATAATACACACTACCACCATACACATACACACACACACACCCCTTACACGCCCACCCCACATGCCACACACACACACACACACACACACCATACACACATACACACCCCTTACACGCCCACCCCACATGTCCCACAGGAGCCAGTGACTCAGCACCCCAACCTTACCAGTCTTCCAGCCCTCCTCTAAATAATAGCTGTTGGGATAAAGTTACTCTGTGGTAGGAATCCCTCATTTCACAGGAAAATAAATAAAAAGTTCAAAATACATAACTGCATTTTCACTGCTCCCCTATAATTAGTGCCCCACTCCAAGAACCTGGAACTTCAGTTAACATCCAAAGGCCTGTGCATCCCTGGTGTTGGGGGGACCCAGTCTGCCTCCTGAGTCTAATCCAATCCCACACTAGGGACGCTAAGTGACTCCTGGGCTTCTGAGCATGCTCACTCCTCATCCGGTGACTTGGTGTGGAGAGGGGACGGGGCAGACCCCAAGGGAAGTACTGGCTGCGACATGCCACGCAGACAGGGAGCTGGAGGCCCCGTACCTTTGCAGGTGAAACATTTGATGTGGAAGTGCTTGGTCTGGACCCGGAGCACCTCACCCTTGCACGGTTCCCCGCATTTATGGCAGTGAATGGCGGGCTTCTCAGATGGGTGGTGAGGGTCCTGAGGGTGGGCCACTGGAAGAAAAAGAAAAGATCTAGGTGAGCAGACAGAACTCCTACAACAGGGGTCGCTATGGGCGTGCATAAATATCCCCCTAACGTTGGTATCAAATGAGCCACATATTAATGCATCAGAGTGAGCCGAGCCCCTCCCCCCAGGCCATCACCATGGGGATCCACACATGAAATGAGAGAGCTGTGGCTCTCACAGTCCAGCAGGGAAAACACAGGGCATGTGCCACTGGGAACCAGCAGTTCTTTCTTCCTCTCAAACTTCTCTAGGACTTCCTCGCTGGGCCATTCAGTATGTGATCTTGTGAGGTGCGATGCTTTGTAACAGGTCTTTAAATTCACGACACTGTACATGCCTGGAGGATGGGAACCATTTCTTAAACTCATGTTTTTTCTACCCATTTGTACTTTTCCTTCCTTCTTCCAGATCCTCAGAACACAGCAGAATGCTCACGCACCAAAGGATGTAGTTGGTGTTTGTTTAGTTAGTATGTGCTGGCTGGCTTCTCATCTACTCTACCAGAGCCATGCCTGAAGTTCCTTTGGCAACTCAGTTAACCTTCCGGAAGCCTGCTGTGAGCCTCCTGTATGTGCACAGTCCCTGATACACACCCTGCAGGCAGTAATTTAAGAAACTAAATAAATTAGCAATTACGTGATCCTCTCTGAGCCTCAGTTTCCCCTCCTGCAAGAAAAGGTGGTTGGATCAGATGATGGCAAAGGTCTTTTCAAGCTCCAAAATCACGTGGGACTATCCTCTCAGTTTCCAGAGCGTGGCTGGCCGAGAATATCACCGCTGCCCGGCGCAGGAACAGGACTCACAACCTCCCCTGTACTAAGGGCTGAGAGAGACGTCAGCGAGAGCACACCCATGGCCTTGAACTAGCCGGGGGTCCTCACGCAACTTGCTGTTCTTCAGCCCGAGAAGGCAGCGGCACTCTCTGCTATAAAGTGCCTTTTCTGAGTTGGGTCCTTGGCAGGAAGAACCGTGTGACATATAAGACGGATTACATAAGTAGCTGTGTGAGTGCGATACGGGATAAGAACAATAAACCCCAAATTAATCAACCGACACAAAGAACAGAGATGATTTTTTTTTTCTCAAGCAGTAAAACCGGGTTGGACAGGAGATGGGGGAGAGATGTGGGCAGATATTTCTGAGACTCGATTTAGAAAAGCACCTACAGCCAGGAGCTCACTGTCCCCCGAGCATAATAGCGCACTGTTTCCCCTGGCCCACGGTCACGGCTCCTTTCGCCTGGAAAGAGTTGGAACAGGACAGTCCAAATAATCCATTATCAGCTACATTCTGAGAAACAAGGTTGTTCTTGTGAGCAGCAGGTGCTGTTTCGGGTTGAACACCTGATCCGCAGTCTCTGTGCTGGACCCCGGGAGTGTCCGGCAAAGGCACCAACATTGAGCTACACCTGCATTTCCTTATCTGCCTGCTGGGATCTCTCTTGGAAAGCTGTGTTTGTGACAGAAGCCAGTATGAGCTACAGGAATGAAGGAGGGGCATAATTTCAAGATGTCTAAACAACCATCGACTTTTAACATTCACCGGACATTAAAAACAGTTTCTGTTAACAATATACACTCCGAGTGCTAGTGGAGAACATGTGAGTTGCTCTTTTAAGCTAATTCCTGCTTCCTATAAGAATGAGGAAACTCATATTTATTGAGCATCTACTACATGCCAGGCATGATGCTAGGTGCTTACACATAAGTCATTTTATTATACCCACTATCCCCCTCTCTCTTCCACCTCCCCCACTCCCCTGTCCGTGAGGTGGGTAATATTGTTCCCATTGGACAGATGAGAAAGCAGAGCCTCAGAGACACAGGAAGTGGAAGCTAAAAGAGCTACACCCAGGCCATTCTAACTCCAGAGCTCATGCTCCTCCCATGCTATTTGTCTACATCAAAATATTGTCATAAATCAGGTCATTATTATAAGTCAGGCAATACTTTATTTAGCTGTGCTCAAGCTCAAGCTCAAGTGCAGTTCTAAAAGCAGCAGTAGGTCTCGGCTTACAAAGGAGCAGACACAGTGTGTGCGATAGTGACGCTAGCTGGACACGGTGCCCACCTGGTGATGCTCAAGGTGGCTGTGCCTACACCCCCAACCAGAACCCCGGTGGCTGCCACGAAGTAAAATTAGCACCATGCAGATTCCTCAGCCCCACTGGACTGAGTGGGGATCTGTTGTTGGAATGAGATCAGGGCATTCCTTTGCATGCTACAATTTAAGAGCTATTTCCCTTGAGAACTCAGACAATATGGCTAAGCACGTCACAGATAAGTGTGAGAGTGAAGGAGTAATTCACAAGACCATCCTCTTCAGAAAGAATGCTGAGCCCAGTGGTTCTCTTGATTATAAGGGACAATGCATTTCTGAATAAGAACAACGGCAGTGCCGTTTCTCTTGACACTTGAGTTTTTTATAGCGAAGCGGGCAAGCCATGCTGAGTAATGATGAGGGAAGGAAAATATCATTTCACTTCTTGGCTCTTCCCTGTGTCTGAACGAAGGTGCCAGTGCGATTGCTGGCACCAGCCGCAAAGGTCAGAATTGGGATCAGCATCTGCATTTTGCAAGCAGTTCCCTTTGGAAATATATATGACACTGCAAAGTCCTCCCTGCCCAGAGATGACCTCTGTTCTCACCCGAGATAGCAGAGACTCTATCATGTTCACTTGCCTTTCTTCCCAGCACCCGTCAACCTGGGCAGACGCATATCAGAACCCACCCGTGAAGAAATGGGCTGGCCCGGCTGGCGTGACGCAGTGGTTGAGCGTCGACTTATGAATCTGGAGGTCACAGTTTGATTCCCGGTCGGAGCACATGCCCAGGTTGCGGGCTCGATCCCCAGTTGGGGGGGCATGCAGGAGGCCGACGATCGATGATTCTTTCTCATCATTGATGTGTCTCTCTCTCTCTCTCTCTCTCCCTCTCCCTTCCTCTCTGAAATCAATAAAAAAGGAAGGGAAAAAAAAGAAGAAATGGGCTATTCTCATTAGGGAATGACAGAATCCAAAGACCAAAAGAGACGTAGTGTTTATTTCACCCCAACTCAAATCAGTATAGACAAAAGAATCTCTCCTCTCTCCTTCTTAAAGATTAATAAGGAGGTTCATTTTACATAACAGCCTTTGGCAGTTTGGTTAATACCAAAAGTATGTTCCTTGGCTCAAATCTTCATTTCTGAAATCTGCTGAGTCAGTTGCAATGTAGGGATGACATTAATTCCACACTCCTCCTATTTGCCAGCTGGCTTCTGTTGCTCATTTCAACTTGATCGCTCCATCTTTCAGAGCCTGGGTGGTCCCTACGTTTTCTACTGGTAGGGAAAACGGGGAGCAAAGAGCTTACATTTCTTCCCCAAAGTTTCCAGGGAGTTATTGGCAGAGACACACTTCCCAGCTCTTCGCACTGTACCTAGTAGTCAATGATTTACCCTGCAACTCGGGCAGACCCGGTTAAAGCCTTCCATGCCTCATCAATTCGTTGCTAAAATAAGAGCAGTACAATGAAAAACCAAAAGCATGGCCGCACACTTTCTGAAAAATAAGGAGATACATAGGAAGGGCCAAGAGCCTCTTTGCCTGAAAAGGTAGAGCCATCCCCCCACTGCACACGGTCCAATTTGGAGGGATTCTGTGTCCTCGGGGAAGAGAGCCTGCTGCAAGGCTGAGAAGTTTCATACTGTCTCTTCCAGCACAGGAACCAAAGTTCCATTTGGGGTGCATCACTGTTGAAATGCCTATTTGGTGAGGAGACTGGGGGATTCAGACCATTAAGGAAATCCCAGTAACCTTCGGTGTCCCCAAGCAGAGACGATTACAGGTTGTAAGAGGAAGGCCATAAAAATTAGGCAGAGCCCTTCCTTCTGATCTGGAACCAGCCTCGTCTTGCCCAGGCTACCTCCACCAGGGAGCTGGACCATCAGAAGCAGAACTCTGAGAATGCATATTTGAGATAAAAGTCTTCTTAGCAGGTGAGTATCCCAAACCTATGACAGCGTTCAGTGTGAGGTACAACTTGCCCCAGGTTATCTGAAATATTCAGAATCTCCCAGGTATCAAATTCCCCCTCCCAAGTGCCCTTCTCTCACCACTCCCCCAATCGGCCTTGGAAACCACACCCGAGCGAGGGGTGCTTGGTGGCTTTCAAAGCCCTTACTTCTGCATCATCTCATTTTACTCCCGCAAGAGCTCTACAAGGCAGGGAGAACAGGGACTGCCGATCCCATTTTACAACTGGACAAACTGAGACTCAGAGGAAGGAAGTGATTCACCCCAGGTGACACAGCCAAGAAAGAAAGAGTTGGCAGTCAACGAAGGTAGTGCTTGTCACACCCAATCTCCTAATCAATGACGCTGGGAAACTTGCCATCATCCTTGATTCCACCCTCTTCTTCATCTCCCACTCAATTTTGTCTACTCTCACATCTCTTAGTCATCCCTTCTCTCTCCGCATGAATCCAGCCTCAATCCCGTTTTCTCAGATTGCTGAGTTTCCTACTCCCATGGCCCCTTCTTCTCCAATTCAACGTGTAAAGCACACTCCACACCCCTCACCCCCGACCCCTGAAGTGTGGGCTGCGCTTGGTGACTTCTTTCCAAAGAGGATGGTATGGGAAGGGGGGGAAAGGTAACTACACTGGACAAGGCTGAAAAACACTACCTCCGCCAGGTGATCAAGGTCAATTCCAGCAGCAACAGTCGCCAAAGAGGATGGTATGGGAAGGGGGGGAAAGGTAACTTTACACTGGACAAGGCTGACAAACACTACCTCCGCCAGGTGATCAAGGTCAATTCCAACAGCAACAGTCATGTTGACAGTATGTGCCTTTGACATGATGTCATGAAAACTGGCTCTTTGCCTCTGTGATCTTTCTCCCAAAATAATCCATAGTCCTAGTCTAATCATGACAAAATTCCCCAAGTGGGGAACATTTGACAAAAACTGGATCGGTATTCTTCAAAATTGTCAAGATCATC